CAAACTGATACAGACAAAACAAAGAGGCAGAAGTGAGCGGTGGTTACAGCCCTGCATGAACAGCCCCATTCACAGGGATGCTGTGAGGTCGTAGCTCCCAGGCATCGCCACGCACCATGCATCGGGCCTGGCGTGCAGTAACGCCGCCTGCCTCCATAACGCCTCAGCAGGCAGCTGCTCTGCTGGACACTGGTAAGGCCAACAAAACAGTACCCTCTATTCCCCTGTATTTGCACAACAACTCATGCCACAGAAATTCTCGTGTCTTGGATAGGACCCATCTGGTTTCTGAGAGCTTGCCCTGCCTTCTCCTGGACTGCAGATACTCTTGGTGCAAGCGTGTGGTGCGTTAACCCCAAACACCAGCTTGCACAGCCTCAGTGTGACATGGTTGGATTTTCCTGCCCAGTTCCCGTGGTGAGGAGGCGCGGCAGCGCTGCTCTGTGGGCTGCATGGGCGAGGCGCTGCAATGAGCAGTAGGACCAGACGCAACCCCACTGGAAAGGGGGTGAAGGGGGTGACTGTGTTGGGTGACACAGGACATCTGCCATCAGCATGTGCAGAAACCATCCCTGCGAGCCCCTGGGGAACACCTCCTGTGATGAGGTCCTCCTGGGGCCCGGGTGCTCTCTGCCCCCTCCCCGTAGTTTCTTTGCCGAAGGTATGAAGTGCCAGCAGAGCCCTGCTCCTGAGTCCTCCCACCAGCCCTCGCCGTCCCGTGCTGTTTGTTGTCCTTATTTGACTGCTCCATCCCATAGCTGCTTTTCTGTCTGCGGCGCGGGAAGTCACAGACTTTATTTCTTCCGCAGTTTCTTGCTGTTCACAAGATTGATTTTTTTTTTTTTTTTTTTTAACAGAGTAACCACAGGGGAATGAGTCCTTTACAGTAAAACATCTCTGAAGATAAATCCAATTTCGAATCTATAAACACTGACAATGGCCCTTGCAAATGCGCCTCTGCCCTGCCGGGGCACTGCCTGCCTCCAGCAGCAGCTCCGCCTGCAAGCATGGAGAACACACCACTTAGCTGCCCAAATACACTTGGAAATGTATTCCAAAGCAGCATGTATGGGCTGAAGATAAACCTTGCCAGCTTGTTGGAAAGAATATAACCAACTGAGCTCTGCATAAGCCTTCGCAAAGAGTTTTTCTGTGCTGAGTCAAAAAAACTAAAATTACCAAAATAACCACAGCTGGGGAAAGCCAGTGGTGTGGGACCCCAGGTGCCTCTGCCAGCCTCACGGGAGGTGTTCACCAAGGCTCCCTCTCCCTGCCCTCCATCCTTGGGAGCAGTATTTCCTACAGCCCCGGGCATGTGCAAGTGAGAAGCGTGTATTGGATCTTTGTGGAGGAGGAGAAGAAAAATAGAGCTGACATGGAGGTTTTTTCCCTCTAGCTCTCTGCTACATCAAGGCTTTTGACTTCACCATTTTACTGGGTAACTCCTGCTTCTTTTTTTGCGTGAAGTATCCTTTCTCACCTTCAGGCTATTCATGATTTTATGCATTTCAGATATTTCCAAGCTGAATTTTTTTTTCTCCTGATATAGAAGTTATTCTATTCTCTTGATCATCCTCCTGCATATTTTTCCTGATTTTACTCTATTCTTTTTAAGTTACCAGAAGTACCTGAAGTGCTCAGGATATGAGTTCGCCAGAACTCCCGCAATGGCACAGCTGAGTTTTACCTTCTTGTTCTGAGTTCCTTTCTTAATAATTCCTAATAACACTCTAAATTAACGTTTTTTAAATTGCTTCTGAGCATGGAGTTGGAGCTCTCAAAGAGCCATCTGTGACAATTCCAAAAGCTCTCTCCAGAGTGACAAAAGCTAATTTAGGACCCGAGGTTGTGTGTGTATAATTAGGGATTATTTCTCCCCATATCTGTGTATTGACGTTTCAGCTACCTTTTTAGTGCCTTGTTGCTGGGTGTTGTGGATTTCAAAGGTTGGATTTGCTGATTTACATTTTCCAAGATCACTGCAGAAATCCCTTTTAGAGACTCGTAATATTGTCTTGGTACAGTTCACGTTTACCTTGCTGGAGTTTGTATTTAGTTTTCTTTGTTTGACACATAAGGATATTTTTGTCTAATGGCTTCCCTTACTCTATTGTTTAAAGATTTTTGGTGAAGCAATGCATTTTGAGCCACGTTCCCAGGCCTGTTGAGGACACGGTTATCAGCTACTCCCCCCGAAGCAAGCCAGGCCACGCTCTGGTGCGGCACGGGTGAGCCAGCTGGCATTGCCCTCAGCCCTGCATTTCCACCTTTGCAGGGGATTAACCCCCCTGGGCATTTCACCCCCCTCCCCTGCCAGCCTGGAGGGTTAACCCACAGAGGCTGGGGCAGGCTTTGCTATTCTCAGCCTAGTAAATCGCATTTTCCTTTATCTGCAGCCCCTTGCCCAGCGGCAGGATAAGGGTGCCTGTCCTTGGCACTGCAGCCTGGCTGTAATGAGACCCCTTGGAAAGACCCTTCTCAAGAGCCGGTTTCACAAGGGGGATGCAGCTGGGTGACTACGTGGTCACTCCACGTCTGCAAACCTGGCGTGTCAGCTGGGGACCCCTGCCCGCCCGCAGCTCGCCCGTGGGTGAGAGGAGATGCTGTGAGTGCCCCGAGGAATGGCCCCATCTCTGCTCGTGTCATGCCCATGCCTGACGCAGGAGCCCAGCCCTGGGGGGGACCACTCGGCAGAGCTGCCGCTCTGGCAATGTGCGTTTCTTTTTGTTTTTTTTTTTTTTTTTTTTTTTTACATCTCTGGTGCTAATTGCAGGCGGCCAGTATGGTTTGGGGGGGATGTGTCTGGCTTCTCCCTCCCAGAGACCCCTCCTAAGCACTTACTCTTCCTCGTGCTGCCGCGTCCGCGCCGCAGCGATGCCTGTCCCGAGGCTGTGGCGGCTGTGCTCCTCCCGGGCGAGGTGACGGGCACGGGCAGCAGCGCCGGTTTCAAGGGTCTGCTTTGTCTCGGGCCATTTTCTGAGATGCTCCCTTGAGAGGAGAGTGAGGAGGTCGATAGCGTCCATGAGGCATACAGGGAAGGCATCTTTGAGTCAGAGAGGTTAGATTTCCTGTTTGAAAAGGAAAAGAAAATAAGCTCGGACTAGACTTGGGGTTTCGTAAGGAAAGCAGGAGTTTGCCCAACAGGGAACTCAATGGTTTTAATGTGCCTGCACTGCTCCCAAGTCAGGGGTTTGGTGGGAAACGTTATGGATGATATAGTTAGTTCAGGTTTCTGATTCCATTATAATGAGGGCTTTCATCTTTCTGCACCTGATTTATAATAAATTATTCCCAAATAGGGTTAGGATTCGTTACAGTAACCTCATGGCATTTCAAAAGGGACCTCCAGACACCAGCCCTCCCTCCGTAATTTGCCCAAACATGCTCCCTCCTACCCCTACCCTACCCCTTCCCTGCACAGGAGCGTGCTGGATGGCACCTTCAGCTGGAGCAGTGAGAGGCACCCTTCAGCACAGGGGCAGGGCAGGTCTGTAAGGACCGGGCAGAAGCAGTATTTGTGCTCCTGTCATCTGGCTCTGGCTTCTCCTCAGCTGTTTGGGCAGCTCTCCAGTGCACAGCAGGTACTTTGGATTATCCTCCTCCCCTGCCTTCCCAAGAGAGGTCATCTTCATGTTTTCACCTGAAGCCACTAAATTGTCAACTTTCCCCATCAGCACACTGGCCAAATATTGCTCCAATTCCTTGAGAGAGTGGGCCACGATGAAGTCTTTTTGCTAACTCCTTAAAGGAAGGAAAAACCATTCCTCTGATTCTTCTTTACCTATTTTGGGGGGTGGAGGAATGATTTATGGTTTAATAACTGAGCAGTGATTCATCAAATAACTCAGGCATCAATTTATTATGAAGAAATTTCCCAAGGAGGATAGAATAGCAGCTCCAAAACCAGTGCTTATGGTTGAAGTGCTTTATGAGGCTATTTAGGGTGACTGGGCTGTGCTCTTGATTATTTGTTTCCTCTGTTTATCGGTGAGGTGGGGCCACGGTGTTATCGGAGGCTATATGGTGAAGAAATGAGCTGGAGAGACAAAGACTAATCACCAGTGCTCTTGAATGCGGGGAGGGTGCAGGGGGGGCAATGCTGGGATTAAAGCAGCACTGGGACCTCCAGTCTGAACCGAGCGATTTGGCAGAATAAAATATTGGAAAGAGAAGCAAGGAGGGGAGAAAGCAAATGGCAGTGGGAGTATCTGGGAGCATAAGGTGAATTTTCGAGGTGTTGCTAGAAGGCTCTCAGGAGGCAGAGGCTGAGATGCCCTTGATCTTCCCTTGGTGCGGTCCTTTACCCCTGTGCAGGGGCACGGGCAGGTGGATGTGTGTGGAGGCGATCCCCCAGGCCGCAGCTGCCCCTCTGAGCAGAGCTCCCTGCGCCCATCCGTCCCCGCTCCCGCAGATGGGGCTGGACCGCTGCAGCGAGTTTCCAGCCACAGAAACCCTGCTCCAAACAATGAAATCACAGTCCTGGAAGAGGTGTCCTGCCTTATCCCCACTTTCTATTTGCAGCAGCAGATCATTACATTTCTAAGTTTTTCTTTGCCTAACCTGAGTGTATCTCAGGGGAACTAAGAGCACAGACAATTTTTTTTCCCCTCTCCTAAATTGTGTATTTTAATTATTGCTCTTTCTAATGCATGCTTGTTTAGTTAGATCAATGGCGTCCACTGCTTAAATGCCTGCTCTAAAGACAGTATTTTGACTCTAAAAGAGCCTTCAGCTTGTGGTTTCCCTTCTGGCAGGAAACAAAAACAAAAAAAAAGACTGGAGTCATCCAGAAGGAATAAAGGCAATTCTGAGCACAGACACGCTGTCATTCATCCTGGCTCCCAGACTAACTCACCAAAATGTGCCAGTTGTGTCACCTACAGGTGTCTGCCAAAGCTCCTGGACTGAATTAAAGAGTCTTGGGAGAAGCTGCTGATACCTCTGTCAACATCCCAGGTTTAAAACAAGTGGATGAAGGCTGATGTTGTGCTGTTCGCTCCTCCGGACTGTGTGCCCCCTCTGAGGGGAACACTGCCGGCCCTCTCTGCTCCCTGACTTCTCCCTGCCCTGGCACCCAGCTGTTGGAGGGAGAAGCGATTCCCACGTGATGCGTGCAGCCGAGTTGGTACATGGAGAAATAAAAGGAGTTAGAGCTGCCAGGAGTCATCCTGCACAGGTAAGGAGTCCCTGGCCCTTGTTAGTACTGCAGGAATCCCTTGTAGGGATTTCTCCGCGGGAATGAGAAGACCCCAAATCTTGTGTTACCCACTCCCCTCTCTGCATGTTTTTGATTCATGTAAGAAAAAACAGACCTGAAGAGGGGAGCGACGTAGTTGCTGGGGAAGATCCCCACCCTCCCTGTGACGAGGGACATGCCTCGCAGCCAGCCGTCGTGGTCTTTCCCAAAGACGCGGACCCCTTCTCCCTTCTGCAGCTCCAGCTCGTCTGGTCCATGAGCCACGTAGGAATGGAGAGCCACGCACCTGGGGAGAGAGGGGGGGTGAGGGGAAGGGAAGGCAGCCTGCGGAGCGTAACTGCCACTGTGCAGGATGGCTGGAGCGCATCCTGAAGCTCCTGGGTTTAACTGTGCTGAAGAACTGATGCTGCTGGCTTTGGGTGAGTGGTGGCTGTTTGCCTGAAGCCTCTTCAACCAGCACTCGCATCAAATATTTTGGGTGCTGCCGTTATTGTGGAGAGAACTTGCAGAGAAGAAACTGCCCGTAACTTCAGGCCAAAGGGGATATGAATAAATGAAGAGCCAACAGGAACAGAGAACAAAGCAGATCCTGTCAATGGTTTCTGTCCCAGAAGTGCCAGCCAAGGGTGACAAGCATTAGGGAGGAGAGAGCTGCTGTTCTCTACCTCACACAGTGAGTGCTCCATTGAAATAACTGATTAAGGGCTAATGTGTACCTGTCCTAAGGCAAAGCAGCATGAAAGAGCACAGGTACGATGCTCTGTCCGAGTGATAGCATCAAGAATATATTCTGCCTTTGAAGTATGTGGTGAGCCAGAGGCCTTGCATCTGCTTGCCTCGAGCATCATCTGGAGGTGTTGGGAGGTGCGGGGAGGAGCACTGCTCGTACAGCAATGTGCGCGTTAACCCCATCTTCCTCCCTTTCCTCGTTCTCCTGTGACCGGACCTCTGCAGAGACTGACACTGGGACTGCAGTCGCTGCCACTGGGGGCCTTTGAGAATAAAGTGGACAAAGGAGGAGGTACATGGCTCTGCACTGGGCTAGCGAGGAAACCAGACTAGAAATGAATTTGAGATCTCCTCTACACCTCTCCGTCATGATTTTGGGACTGTGACTAGGTGATGAAGCTTTGTTCACCACAGTGAACCACATGTGACTACACAGCAAAACAGGAACAAAAGAAAATGGCATATTTTTCAAAACTTTCCCCTATTTGTTCTTTAAAGAACTTTAATTTGTCTCCAGTGTAACACATTTAATTGTTGTTTTTTGTTTTTTTTTTTTTTAAGGGGAATGTGATCTGCTCCCAAATATTAATGAGTTACAGATCAATACAGCAATTATCAGAAATTATTTAAAAAATAGAAACAACAGACTAGTTGTCTAGATAGTCAAGAACTATCCCATAACTTTTACAAAGGTTTCTCTCTCCCTGTTGTTCAGAAAAATCACTTGAAAGTCTGACTTGAAATGCCTGTCTTCATAAAGTGACCTCTCCTTCTGTTACTTGCACAGACCAGGCGAGGCTCAGTGTAAAGGTGTTCTAATTCTGCAGTGGTTTATCACTGTACACAGGAGTCATCTTGAAGGGCAGGACATGCAGATACCGGTTTGATATTGTAGGGTTGAAAAAGGAGCTGTGCACAATAGGCAGCTGATTGAACACTTTAATACAATCCTCACTCTGCAAATTATTTTAAGGTCTTAGGAGTTTTCCTGTGCTTAGGATTAAGTGTGTGCAGTATTCTTGGATGACCTATGCTAATGCACGAAAGTAGCAAATTTCCCGAGCATAGTACAGATCTACAGATATTGCTGATGCGTACTAGTGTTTCCACAGGTCTGACTCGATACTGTGGAGGTGCTAATTACCATGCAGACAGCTTGCTGCTATTTTGCTGTTATTGGGTAGCTTACTACAGTGCCAGGCTGATGAATCTTACCTAGAGGAAAACAAATCATCACAATATATTATCTGCAAATTTCAGCTCTGGGAAAGTTTTAAAAGATTGGATCATTCAAAGTACCAATGACCGTCACTGTCTTAAAATAAATAACCAGAGGCACTTAAGGAGTAATTAGTTTCTTTAAATTTAAAAATTTAAAATGGACTGTTGACAAATGGGCAGAACTTTATATGTATAAATAGTTAAGTGAGGTAATAAGGTGCAAGGATGGTTCACCTGCTGGGAATAATTAAAAAAGACGAACACAGTAATTTGTATGAGGGAATGATGAGAATCTATCTCAAATGTTTCCAGTAGTTTACCCACATTCTTCTATATCCCTTGATTTTCCTAAATTTAATCTTTTGAGTTCAACTGTGATAAGTCTAAGCAGGGAGTCACAGAGACCACCCAACTACATTCCTACGTGGATCTGCATTTGGATCCGAACACACGGGAGCTGCGCTCTGGTCTGCCTTTACCTCCTGGCTCGCAAGAACAGTTGGCTGGAGAAGCCTCAGGTGAAGGTACAGAAAATTACACGACCCCCCCCAAGGTATTTCAGTTTCCTTACTTACATATGAGCTGATAGGTGGTGCTGCAGATGGGGAAGAGTGACTATGGCTGCTGAGGGCCCCAATGATCCTGGCGCAGGATAGTAAGATGCACTGACCTACAGGGAGAAAGAAAACAATAAATTAATCTGAATATAGACCTATTTTAGCCACTGGAAGAGCAGCTAAAAACATTTGACAGGCTTCACCCACTCTTCAAAAAAACCCCAAAGACGTTTCAGGAGAAAGAAGAGTTTAGAGCATTTGACCAAAAAAACCAGATGACCAGGCATTAAGAGGAAAACTCATGGTCTTTCCACTTCAACACCGAGACGCTCTCCAAGGTATGGCTTGGTTGGACTGATGGTGCATGTCCTGTCCTGTCAATAAGGAACTTGTTGGGACAGTAACCTGGCGTGTGAGGAGGCTGTCAGAATGGCGATGAGACAGGATAAACATAAACTAACAGCTACAACTTCCAAGTGCTAAGTTTGAGCCCTAAACCTGTAATTGTTGCTAATCTCATACATATGAAATCCATTCCAGTGGGGAAACACTCCTTTGCCTCTCTCCTTGCACTCAGTGTTTTCTCACCCCTTTTTGCTTGGCTCTGAACAAGATGAGTACCTTTCATTCATTCCCTGTCTCTGGTGCCTGCTTCAGGAAGGAAAAGGAGTTTGGGAAAACAACATTTCAAGCCCTGACTTTGCTAACCAGGAGGAGACCACTGCGTCTGCCAGGTGAGGATTGGTGTAATCATTGCTGTTTCACTTGTTATTTATTTAGGTCCAGCTGGGAGTATTGGCATTGTCTAAACCCAAAATAATACAGTCCTTGCCCCAGTGATCTTTTAATAACTATTATTAAAGCTATTTACCACTTCTTTGGCGTCCCGAGGAGCTCCACAGACCCGTGTGTACACTCAGTGCAGACCGTGCTGGGGAAGGGGAGTAGCTCTCTGCCGCACCACGGGCAGTGCCAGAGCATGGGCAGAGGCACCTCGCTCGGGTTTGCATTTGGTTTGGGGTGGCCCTTTCCCCACTGTCATTTTGCATCTGAGGAGAGGTACCAGCCACCATAATGCCCCCTCTGTCCTCTCGTAGGGGTCTTTCATGGTCCGGGGAGGAACCTCAGCCCTGTTTTTGCTGTCAAAGTAACTGTGTGCCTGGAACACACCATGCCAGACTTGCTGCTGCAGTGGGCAAGCGCTCGTCCCTGCTGCTGCCCACCAAAGGCAAGACAACAACTCCTTGGACCTCCCTGTTGTCCCAGTGAGGACGCGGGCAGTGTGCTAGGCTGTTCCTGTTCCCCTACCCCTCCATGTCTCGCAGGTTGAGTGACATCCACCCCCTTGGGGGGTTTCTGAGGCGAGCGTCCTCTGCCTGGTGTCCCGCTGAGCGTCTGGCTGTTACCCCCGAACCCCAGAACCTGCCTGTGAGGTGTTTCTGTTCTTCTGGTCTGGTTTTGGTTACGTGTCCTTTGTGCTCGCTGGGCTCTGGCGTGGTCCCACCACGGGCAGCTGTCCCCACCTCGCATGGCACTGATCTCTGCAGAGGCTTCACCTCCATAAGGGGACTGTGAGGAGACAGGGCTTTTCTTCAAAGGGTGAAGGCCATCCAGTAGAAAGAACAGGAGAAATTTCTACAAATGCCAGCTTCTCAAGGAAGAGCAGTCCTGCGCGTGTGCCATGCAGATGGAGAAGTAAACAGGATGACCTCTCTGAGGCTGTTAAACTCTGCACCTCCATCTCCAGTGTACTCTGCAGGCTGGAGGGTGCTTCCAGGTGCCAAGAACAAGATGTGGACATGTTTTACTTGGTTGCCAGTGCAAAGTGGGTTAGCGTTTCATAGCTGGCTGATTGAATGAGTGGTAAAAAATTGTACTAGAGCTATTAGATATGGGAAATGATAATCCTTTTCCATAAACATCTGAAGAACACGCAGATAAAACTCCTTAAAGTATATTGGCCAACTATACAAAGTACTTCCACTAAGAAATGCTACTGAAGTGCTTGGCGGTGTCTCTTGGGGCCACGTCTCCTGGACCACGTATTGGCATCTTCCCCCTTGGTCAGGAGACTTGCAATGTGGGAGGGTTATCTGATCAGGGAATTCCTGCCATACCAGAAAAGGAAAGCGCTGGGCTAGATCCTGCTGGGAGCTGCATGACAGCATGCTTTAAAGGAAATATTTTCCTTGCTGGCTGCAAACTTATGTAGCAATCAGAGTGCAAGGTCTTTCAGTGAAAACTGAGAATTTTCTAGGGAAGGTAGACCCTTCCCTTTCACGTGAAAGCCCAGCTATCTTTCAAATGGCAAAAGCAAAACAATTTAAGTTGAACTTTTTTGACCAGTCCTAGCTGGCCGCCTTGTTTACATGCCCCGCAGTGAGGCAGAGGATTAGCTGGAACAAGGACAACATCTCTCTCCTCCAGAGGTGGTCCCTCCTGGCGGGGGGTTGGAGCCATGGCAATAAAACCCTGTGCTTCTGTATCGCCTTGCTTTGGAGGCTCTCCAAGGGTTTTGCAAGCATTAGGAGATTAGCGAGGAGGCAGGGAGGGTTTGTTATCTCTGCTTCACAGGCGGGAGGGCCGAAGTCTGTCGCAGGCATGGAGGGAGCAGTGCTGCCACACCTGGCACTGCACAGGTCTGGGGACGGTGTCCTCAGGGGGATCCATCTACCACCTTTCACCAGCAACATTTGTTTCGGAAAATGGTGAGAACAAGCGGTGCTGCTGAGCCCAGCCCAGGAAGGTGCCAGCTACCAAACCCGCTGGTGTGTGCCAACCAGGCACGCTCCTCCTCGTCCATTTGGTTTCTACCGGTGAACTTTGCTTTTCTGCTTGTCGCTGTGCTGGCAGCACAGCAGACCTCGGAGCCAGGAGGTGATGATGCAGTGAATTCAGCAGTGGATGGCCTGGCTGCACAGGCTGGGCCCATGGGTTTGGAGGAAAGGATGGCAGTGTTCAATGTGGCATCCTCAGGATGCTCTCTTCTCCTGATCTATCCCTTCTAAAGCACAACAAAATGTATCCCGGGGTGAACTGCTGTCAGCAAGCAGTTCATCCCCATTTGAAATTCAGCGCTGTGCATGCTGAAAGGCGTTAGCCGTGTTGCACCGCTGCAGGAGGGTGGCTGCTGTTGGGAGGTGAAAACAAAGTTCCCAGCAAGGCAGTGTGGCTGCGGCAGCTTCCCTGGGGAATCTCAGGCCAGTGGAAAGTCACCGGACTGGGATGTGGCTGGCAGTCATGCTCTCCAGCAAAGACCACAGGATCTTTAGTGATGCAAGTTGTCAGGGCTTTAATCTCGTATTCATTTCAAATCTAATTTCTAGTGGTCATGCCTGTAACACGGTGCTGGGGCACTGGCTTTGCAAGGACCTAGGGAAAAAAGCAAGTGACTCACCAGCTCTGTTGCTCTCCAGTAAATTAAGTTAATTAAAAAAACCCCAGCAACTATCGCTTCTGTCTCTGGACCTGGAGTGGCAGGTAAGCTTCAAACCATCTTTGCGTTCCTTGTTTTCTAGTCCAGGTAGGGTCAGACCAGCCTCTCATATAAACGAAGTTCGTTGGAAATTATAATTCTGTTTTAATAATTTTGATAACCAAAACCTTTGAAATTTGGGGATTTGGAGTTTTTTTCCTGCATTGGAGCAAAATGACAACCTTTTTGCTCGTTTTCCTGATGGAACGGTGTTGAAATGACCACTTCTGGATGGAAAGCTTAATGTTTTTCATCTCTCTCTGTTCCTACTCTGCATGGAAGCAGCGATCCTTCCAGAGCTGCATCAAAGCTGGTTTTGTGTTTTCAACAGAGAGGAAAGAAGATTGAATGAAATATTTTCCAGCCAGGTGTAAGTGATTTCAGCATTCACTTTTGCTGATCTCCTGTGAGTACCTTGCAAGCCCTTATAAGCACAGAGAGTTTCATTTTCCACCTCTCCTTAAATCCCTCTCTTACTCCATCTCCCTGTCTAGCTTGTCGCCAACGTAATTTCTAGCTTGGCTCCTCTCTACAGTGCCCTGCTGACACAGGCAATTGCCTGTCGAGAGTGTTCATGAGATACCTTGTGGGGAGGGAGATTTTCCCCGTTCCCTCGCAGGGCAGTTGGTGCTCTTGGTGCTACTGAAAGTTTGACCCTGCAAGTTTCAGATAATTTATTACATAGAAAAGCCAAATGTACTAGATGGCAGATGTCTGGTTTATCAGCTCACTTTAATGAGCAGCAAAGGGTAGCAGAAGCTTAGCCAGATGTTTCCTGACCCAAGTACCACCAGGTCCCAGTTGTGACTGGGAACAGATTCCTGCAGCTGCTGGTGCTTTCTGCTGGAGGCGGAGAGGGAGGGCGCAGTTCAGCGCTGCCGCGCTCCCCTCGCCCCGCAGCCGGCCCGCTTGCACAACAGGCACAGGCACAGACATGGTGCACCACAAACCCTGCAAACTGGTTCTGGCTCCTGCCTGAGCCTGGCTTGGCACCACAAAGAGGAAGGAAGAGCAGGAGGAGGGCTGGCGGCAATGCCAGCTGCTGCCAGTTATTCCCTTTTATGGGCCGAAATGAGTCTGACCTGATCCTTGTTGGTGGAAATGCCAGGCAGGCAGGCACATCGTGTTTTGGAAAGCCCTACAAACACCCAGCACAGCCTCTTCAGCTTCGCTTCTTAAGCCGTGCTTTGTTGCTGTGTGCACCCATGGTGCAGCCCCTCCGGCTCCCTCTCCCCCTGCCCAGTGCCAGCATCGCTGGAGACGTGACTCCGCCATGGGGATGTCATGCACAGGGTGCTTCAGGGGGATGCTGATGCTCCTCTTTGTCTCCCTCAAACGTAGGTAGTCTCATAGCTTGGGGCAAGTGTCATGTAACTACAAGCCACTGGAAAATTCCCACTTTTTTTGACCCCCACCCCAAGGAAAGCAATGAACGCATCTGTTCAAAATGCATGGATTTTTAAAAAAATTACTAGATCCAAATGTATATTCAATATCTGTCTGGAAGCCTGTCCTTTCAGAAGAGAGGGATTTAAAGGCTTGGATAGTAACAGGGTCACTTGGTTGTCAGTTTGATTGCTAAGGTTGCTCTGCTGCCTCATTCCCACGTGACGGCTGATGCTAGGACCCCCCCTGCTGTGATCCTCACCCCTGTTAGTGTCAAACTCGGTTGCAGCACAGCTCCTTTACTTCCAGCTGGTCTCATGGGGCCTTACATCCTTATCTTGGGCGGGGAATGAAACCAGGTCACTGTCTGAAAGGACAAAAGCACCTCGGAGCACTCCATGGAGGGCGTGCTCCCGGCGAGCGAGCGCCCGCCCAGCGCACGGAGGCGAGCGAAGGGCTGGGGTGCTGCTGATGGGGCAGTTCCTTTCACGGAGGGAGAAAAGCTCTGGTGTTTGGGCGTGGAGCCCAGGGGCCGTGGCTGCTCTCAGACTTCTCTGGGCTCTGCATGGAGCCCTGGATGGGGAGGCGGACTTTCTCTGGCTCCCAGGGAGGGCGGATGCTGTGGTGAGCATTCCTTCTGCCAGTGATTCACCCGCTAACCCTGCACAGCCTCCGCGGCTTCGCCTGCTGCTCGCCATCTTAGGCAGATACCCGCTCCTTTCCCGTGCCATCCCTCTGCTCAGCAGAGGAGGGCATCAGCCCTGGTGGCCAAGGGCTGGGCAAGGGGGCACCTTCGACCCCCCTGCCCCTTGCCCAGCCTACCCCATATACCTCACCCACGCCTGCCAGCTAAGGTTATCCAACCCTGAGCTTTGTGTCCTGGGACAATTCCCACTTAACAACTGGTTAAATCCTTGCCTACTTCGTTCTCAAAAATCGTTCAGCCTTGCCCACCAGGTCTCAGAAACTCCTCCTGAGAGGCAGTGCTGTTTGGGGCTGGCTCCTGGGTGCTTCAAGAGCTGCCATCGCTGCTCCTTACGCAGCACAACTGCGTGTGAGCGCCGGCTCGGCACCTGGGTGAAGCCTGGTGAGGATTTCAGCCCGGAGTCGGGAAGGCTGAGCTGAGCTCTAGACTCAGCTCCATCTGCTGCACCATATTTGTGACCACCCACAAAGATCCAGGCTACTCAACCTCTGCAGAATTACTCGGGAGCACGAAAATGCACGGAAGCAACTAACTATGTGATTCAACCCACTCTTTACTATATTGCTAATAACAGAAGACCCCGGCTTGGTACTTGTACTCTGGGGCTGAGTTTTCAGCGCTGGCAGTAGGCACAAAACTGTTCGTTACTTCCGAACTTGTATTTTATCTGGAGTAGTTTAAACCCAAGAAACACAGATCTTTTCCTTTCAGGTAACATTGTGTATGTAAAATTAATTGCCATGGAACAACCACACTTTTTGGAGATGTGCTACTGTTTTTCCAAAGTCTCAGCACTTACTATCAAAGCTGAGCTTCTACCAGAAGCTACTGAGCAGGGTAGACCAACCCTTGGGATCAGCATCAGCTCTTGTCTCTCCCATTACTCCTCAATCCTGCAACTTTGTTCTGGTCGTGAGGGCTGCCTTATCAACAAATCACCGCTGCAGCTTTTCTATCCGATTAATAGTAGGGAAAAGGACGAGTGACCTCAGTGGGATATGGCCAACATGGTCCAGCCTGGCAGTGCACTTCTGGGCTTGCAAAAGAATCTCAAGTTTGCAGGTCAGTCATCACAACTCAAACCCAGAGATGCAAAAAGGAAAAGCTGCAACCTGTGTGGCCCCATAAACAACACAGATCCTCCTGCAAACCTCCAGGAGTAAAACTGTTGTTTAGAAGAAAGGAAATTCCAACCCTTCTAAGGCAAAATGTTAACATGTTCACTCTGTTGCTTCTGCTGTTGACGATAGTTCACACTGAGACATTTTAGGTGAAATTATATTGGGATTGCGAGACATGATACCATTTCAATTGAATTATAGTTCTATTGTAAGGCTTCATTTCCTCTCCCATAAAACAGGATCTAACATCCAAGGCTCTTTGCGGGCTATTGCTAAGTACAAAATGCCTGCTGGGTTTTATTGCACAGACACCGAACTACCAAGGGCTGGCTTATTGCTTTATAAAATGTTAGAGCAACCTTGAATATGAAAGACGTCATATAAATCTAAACAAAACCTTTTTTCTCCCATTTCAGATGATCTGTGAGGATTCTGTATTGAGATCTTTAGTCAGAGTGTGACGAAGGAATGAGACTCTTTTGCCTCCTAAAATAAAGAGTGGATATAGTCCAAAAGGTCAGTCTACTTTTATTATCTCAGCCCCAAATTCAGCTTTTCTTGGCATAGTCTCAGGTTTAGATTGCAGACCGACAAGGACTCCTGGTAATTGCCCTCCCCTGACAGGAACCATTCATCTGGACGTGGATGGATGTGGGCAGAGGACTGATTTATGGTAGGGCAAAGACGCCGATTGCTTTTCAGAAGGGCTGACAGCCCTGCTTAGAAGAAGCAGGAGGCTTCTTCATTATTTCTGTCGATGTTATAACACTGCTGAATTGGCGTTTTGTGAGGAAGCCTGTCCTGTAGGCAGTTTACCTTTGGAGAAAACTTTGTGGATTAGGTTACGGTAATGGAGCTCCGTGCTTCCGCAATGCCTGAGTGTGCCCCGGCGGGCAGTGTAAAGGTTGTGTTTAGATACACCCAAACATGTGATCTTCTGCACTGAGATTTTGGGCTTAATCAAGTTTTTCAGTTAAGCCCAATGCTTATCGTTGAGGATAAGCATTGGGGATGCTAGGGACTCCTTGTAGGCTTAAGACTTACCAGAAAAATTGAAATACCAATTAATAAAAAGAGCAGGTTTCTACTTTCCTTTTAAGCATAGGGGTTAGATGAAAAGGCCGTTAAAGCAATCACTAGCAGTACAGACCTGCTCAGTACAATGCAGCTTCCTCACTGATCTTGCTGGGCTTTTATTTGCCCATAATTCAGGGCCTGATTCTGCAGGTCCTACCATGCTGGTGCAACTTAATTCTGTGAGAGGAGCTCAGAAAGGCTCCTCATCAAAGTAATGCAGGCAAAAGTGGCCGATGGCTGGTTTTAGCTTTAATTTTGCAAGTGTTGAGAACTGCCTGTTTTTGATCTACATCGTTATATGGCAAACCAGATGTTTGCTTGCAGTGTGAATTCAGGCACACACACACGTCTGAATGAGCTGAAGCTCGGTTAGCTCCCTTGGGAATTCATGTTCCGTACTACTTTCTAAAATGAAAAATATTTTATTTTGTAAGTTAAGCTCTCTGTTTTCTGTTCTACACCTGGAGCTCACTGCAGTAGGGCAGAAATTAGGATGGGAATGTGCTTTATCCACATTTAGTTACTCTGATAACTTAATTTCTCTTTTTATGAATTCCCTTGGGCACCTGAACTCTGAAGACAGATCTTTCCAATTCAAAAGGAGGGGAAAAAAGTCCCAGGCAGCCTGATGTGGATGACATATCTTACTGACACTATTAGCATGGGTGCTTTGTCTTTGCACATTTGTGCTTTAGCTTTTTGAATTGCTGCCTGCGAGTCAAGTGTTTCTATCTAGGATTTGCATTTTGGACTCATAGTGCTCCTACAGCATCCACACCGCTGCTTCCTTACCTGGAGAGGGGTGCCGTAGGGAAACTCCGCTTTCTCGCTGCTCTGGGTGGCCACAGTGGGGTTGCTGGAGCTGATGAGGACAGGGGAGCTGATCTCCAGCGCCTGACGCTCGGCCGGTGCATGGACCATCCGGTTGAGGGTGTTCAGGGCAGTGGTGATGGAGAACTGCCGCAGGCTCTTCCGCCTGGAGTCGGACACCTTGGGGAAAGCCGGTGAATCCGCGCCCTTTGCTTTGGGAGATGCCGTTCGTAGGGACGCACACTTAAACTGAGGGGACCAGTGGCTTTTGCTGGTCTGCAGGAGTTGCCTTGCAGTGGTGTTTGGCTGAAAGAGACAAAGGGAGATTCGATGGCACGTTCAGAAGTTATGCCTGGCACAGCCTGGTGACTGCTCAGTTTTCCCTTTTTTTTCAGCTTGCCAAAGAATCTGAGCTGCAGGAAGATTTCAGATGATGTTACAGGCAGTCTTTAAAAACTTGTGGCTCAGTCGTTTCCCTGATATGTTTTCAGTGACAAATCCCGGATGCAAAATTACTGATGCAAAGCTGACAGCAAAATTAAAATTGGTTTGAAAAACTTGTTGCTTAGACAACACGTTACTGAGGCTGAGTGCTCCCCCCCCAATACTTCACAGAAAGTTTCGTTTCTTGTCAAGGCCTTTGCCTTGCAGAGGTGTCAGGAGAGCTGGCTGACTCTCTAGCAGTGTTATAATAAATTTAACTCTAAATTAGAAGGGACGTTTGGGCACACCTCCCTTTTTCACTTTGTGCTGGCACGCTTGGGTGCGTCTCGCAGCAGCCGACTTTAAGGCATGAGCTCAGAGAAGCCCTCACTGATGGTGGCTTTCCGAGCAGAATTAGATCCACCCATTTACCTCTCTGTAGGCCAAAGCATTCATGGCTTGATCCTGCTTCCATTGAAAAAAGCTTGGTTTTTTTAACTATTGGGTTTAATGAGGGAAGAGCCAGGCCCTGAGTTTGCATATGGGCAACGTTCAAACAGTATTTCTTGGAAACTGCTGATCACACAGTATTAATAGCAAAGGGCATGTGGTGACAATGTTTTTTACCACGATGACTGCCAGAGGAATTAATCATGATTTACTGCTGACATTAACGAATTGCAAAACTTTGAGATTCTCACCCACTCGTGTGAGGCAATGCGCCTGACTCCTGGGATGAACGAGGATGACTTTAACGCAGGAGGGGTACAGGTGTCTCTCAAGCATTATAATTTTAAAGCAGGGATTGTTTTCACATTTCCCTCCTCCTCACTCCTTAAAGCAAGGTTTAAAAACCATAGTGTGTGCGTATGTGCACATATAAGATGGCAATATTGTCATTTCTATGCGTAATTAAACTTTAGCCTAAACAGGAAACATTTTTCTGCCTTCTCTAAACACTGGGCCATGTGATAAAATGGGGCACAAACCTAAGTGTCAAACCTAAGTGTCAAAGCCTTGCATCCCCAAAGCAGACCTACCGTTGCCTTCTCCATAATTAATTTCTAATTCCTTGGTGGCTTTATGTGGCCCTAACTAACTTATTTCTGTTAACGCCAGGCTTAAATAAGTAATTACTGAAGCTAAAATGATTTCATTAAATGAAAAGACATTTTACAAAATATATTAGAGCTTCAAATAAGATGTTTTACTAGTGTCCTTTTATAAAATAGCCACAAAGAGGTGCTTGCTGTAATTATGATGATTACAAGTATTAATTTTATTTCTAGGAATTCTTGTTGGTGCCATTTACACCCTGCATCTCAAGGTAAACTGCAGGAATACAATTAATGTCTAGACCACTGCTAACAAAATCCTGTCAGGCAGCAGGCGGCTTAAAGGTCTCCGGAGCCGGAGTGCTGGGAACTCCTCCTGCGATGTGCTGAGCTGACGCTGGTGGAGGCTGGGGCGGCTGGGGGCCACCACCACCTGCCAGCCCCCCTGAAGCCCCAGGAAAGCGTCTGGGGGGCTCATGGGGCAGATCCCCCAGCAAACAGAGCTACACAAGAGCCGATTACAACAGAACCTGTTAAAAATGCAATTTTGATATTTTGCCTGAATTTTGCATTTTTGCCCCCAATTTTTTTCCTTGTTGTGCAGACTTCATTCCAGCGAGGGAGAGGGAAAGCTGTTTGCTCGCTGTCTGCAGGGCTGAGAGACAGCCGAATGCAGTGCCAGGCTGGGAGGAGGGCTCTGCCCCCGGGTGCCAGCACACACTGCTGCCTGGCGGGGCGTTGGGTGGGCACGGCAGAGAACGGGCTGGACCCCCCTCCACACACACGGTGGGGAAGGTCCCTGCTTTGTCGCCTAACTTGCCCTCTGTTCTCATCAGCTCTGCCAAGGACAGGGGTGTTGTCACCCCGAAGGGCAGGAGCACGGTGTCACCAGCCCTCTCTTGCGGGAGAGGTGGGTGGTAGGGGTGAGGATGGGCTCGCCCTGCCATTTCAGACAGCAGCCTCGTTAAACAGCTTCGGTGGTGCGGCCCCGTCGAGTCCTCTGGGACAGCTTCTGGTATGTATGTATTCTGAAACACCAGCTTGTCTGGCCTTACTCAGCACAATGCTCAAACTTGTTTTTAATTTAAAGGTGTGAGCGTGGCTGAATCGGGTCCGTGGACATGAGTCTGATGGTGAGGACATGAAAAGCCTTTTACTTGCTGGATGGTTTCCATCGCATGGAAATGCCTCTGTAATTGCCACGCACACAACTAATAATGAAAATGGCATTTTAGCTATGAACCAAGTGAAAAACCCCTATGTAAGTAAGTGTCGAGGTAATTGGTGTCACACTGCCGAGAAGCTCAGATCGCTCTATCAGAAGCTGAAATAACCTGACATCGCTGGAGTGCAGGTATTTGAAATACTCTGGAGGAAAAAAGCTAGTTTGTATTGACTGATAGCTACATCTCTTTGGAAAGGCCTAAATTTCTGAGCAACTCAGCAGAATTAAATCTTGTTAACTTCTAAGATGTTTTGGTTTCATCTTTTTCAGGATATCTGCCATGTGTGCGGGGGGAAATAAGGAGAATTTTACAGAAACAAATGTATGTTTTTCTCTCTTCTGAACTAATGTGCAAAGTTTGGGGCTAAAATTTTAATGACTTCAAGGCTGAAGGGGTCAGAGAAGACTGGTTCCTGCTGGCCTAAAACATTTACACCCGTGCAGAGTACGTGCACAAATTTTCCACTTGAATTGGTGCAAATTTTGTATTAATCTTGCAGTAAGTGACCCTTAGCTTTCATTTGTGTGTCTGAACATTATCTGCCGGCTACTGCCTTGAAGAATAAGAAGAGACTGCTATGTGGTATTGCACCTGAATCTCTGCACAAATTTCCAAGTGGGCTTGTTGCCAAATTACCGTCACCTTCTCCCGAGGGAGGGCAAGGGCATGTGGAGGTGGGGCGAAGCCGAAAGGCGGGGGCATCCCATCCAGATGTGAGAGCCGGTGAGGGTGAGAAGCTGTTTGCGAAGCCAGCTGCAGCGTGCAGCGCTCCTGTGAGAGTGGGCAGCTGTTGGGTTTTTTGTTTGTTTGCTTTTTTTTTTTATAGCCAGCTCATATTTTTGAAAAAAAACCTAGATCAAGCTGCCCGGAGCAGAGCTTTGGTCTAAGGCCAGGCTGTGATGGACAAATGCAACTCCTGTGTCATCTACCCGAGGCTCCAGCATCCTTGTGTTGAGGTTCCCCTGCCTGCTAGGGCTCTTGGAGGAATAAATCATCTCTTTATGGTGGTTTGCAGAGAGATGGCACTCTCCAGTTACCCACCTCGGCTGGCAGGTCACTATGCCGTGCTATGCCCAGCTGGAAGAGGACACGGCACTGGCACCGGTGCTGCCTCGAGGTTACGGCAACAGGGAGTCACTGAAGTGACTGCTCCAATCTTTGTCATTTCGTACAGTAACAACTGACCGCTGTCACAAGGCTGGGGGACAGGAGGATGCTCTCACCTCTTTGCAGAGGCATCTGTTTGTTTTAGATGTGCACTAAATCCCCACATATGAACTTTGCTGTGGGAGCGGAGATGAGCGCAGCCTCCTAACGCAAACAAACAGAATGAGTAAGCAGTGAAACAAAGGCAAATAAAGTGAAAGAGAAAAAACAAATGCAGACGGCAGAAAGCTGAGGAAGGCGCCTCCTGCTAATAAGTGAATCCTAATGACAAAGGCAGGATTGCTGGCTGCCCAGCCTCTCTGCATCTGCACCTAGCAAGCTCAAAGCCCACATTTTATAGAGCTGCTCGTGATGTGTGACGCTGCTCTGAACTGATTTTTCTCTTTTAGTTCTTCCCCTTAGTCAGAAACCACAGCTGGCTTTTGGCTGTTTGATTTCTCTTGCCCCCTGCCAGCCACCCCACATCCAGCTCCAACTCCCTGGGGACACTTGGCCTGGACCAAAGCCTCCTTCTCCTGCCTCCTCTTCCCACCCGTGAGAGCGAGGAGAGCATCGCATCTGTGCTGCCAGCTGGACGGAGAAAGAAGTGACTTCTCTGCGAGGACACTGATACCTCCAGGCAGTGCTTTCTGTACTGCTCTGCCATGCCTCACCTCGTTTTGACACTACAGGGACAGCTGACTTTGCTGGGAGGTGCAGTTACTCAGAAAAGCATGTCCTCTAACAGAGTAAATGCAAGCTCTGTAGCCTTTGGGGAATAAAGGGAAACACAGTACAAGTTCAGGTATTGCTCTGCAAATGCATGCCTCCAGCAGGCTGGGTATGTTCAACCTGCATAAATGTTGTACCCCCAGACCTGGAGCAATTTTCTTTACTACGTCAGTAGGTGTCTTTTAGAGATCTCCTTGGAGTGTTTTGGTCCTGAGAGCAGACTACCACCATCAGCCACTCCTCATCAACGACAGCAGCATGGGCGAGAAGCTGAGCCAAGGGACTGCAGTCGCTGCTCGTGGCGGGCACTTGCATCCCTCTCTGGATGCCCCTCGTCCTGCACAGGGCAGTTGTGGGGGTTTAACTGCTGGTGGCAGTGTCTGAGGGGGCTTGGGAACCTCACTGACTTCCAAAAGGGAGCTCCTATGGAGTTGGGGAGTAGCAGAACACCATACAGTCTAAAGAAACAGCCCAGCCCGTGTCGCCCAGCCCCTGGCTGCTGCGGGGTGGTGTTACCTTATGAAACGTCAGGTAGTCCTTGTTTTCGGTCTTATCCCTGCTCCTCAGGTCAAAGCTGTAGAGTGCTCTGCCGAGGGGTGGTGGCAGGGGCAGGTGCTTGATGACTTGCACGGAGCTGGCTGGGAAAACGCCACTGATCCCGTTGACCTCCCCCAAATACCAGTTCTCATCCAGCTGTCGGAGCAGCATGATGATGTCCCCCTTATTGAACCTCAGCTCCCCAGGGTTGTGCCCTCGGTAGGTGTACAGGGCCTTGGCTCGTGGGACCTGTGGGATGAGAAAAGGCCCTTGCAGTTCATCCGTAACAGTGATGCTTAACATAGACAGAATTCCCCAAAAGCATTCATAATCACTGGGAAAAATTTAGAGGTCTAAAGCTTAAGCATGCATTTACTGGAATTAACTACCCACATCCTTTCTTGATGTCTTTTTCTAACGAAGATGAGCTCCAAAATACTTATGCTAAATTTGTATCAAGATGAAAAGCAGGCTGAACTTGTTTAAGAATATTAAGAAACAATTAATGCCTTAAACTAGTCTTCCCATGGGATCTTATTGCCTGCTATAAGGCCTCCACTAATACAATGTCTGTTTTAATGAACCCAGGTATTTCTATTTCAGAATGACTGGAGGTCGCAGCCATCGTCCAGCTGACCTGGCGGCTGTCACCTGCAGTGGCCAACTGTGCACGTTTAGCAGAACACAACAAGAGCAAGGTGAGTGCAGGTTACTGCTCTCCTGTGGTTATCTCCCGGCTTTAACACTGTGTGACCGTGATTTTATTTCAGTCTTTAATCTGGGTTACAGGAAGAGAGGCTTTTTAATGTTATTGTTGTTGCAGCGTAATATAAGAAAGAAGAGATATACCAAAACCAGGAGACATGAGGGAACTTTACCATCTTGACTCTCATCAAAATGAAACTACAAAGTTCACTTAAAATAACCACTTTACTGACCCTTATCTATACCAGAAAACTCAATTTAATACACAATGCAGCAGATCATTTAGACGGCTGAATAAACCCAGAGCCATCCCTGGCCTCGGTGCTGTGAACCCACGCGGTACAACTTGAGGGCAGCCTGAGGGGTGTTTTTCTTGGGAGGAGCACAGATACGCCGATGTTTTCTGCGCTCTGTGTAGCTGTTCTAGATATGCATTTGGGGGGTCCCATATATTGGAAATCAGCAATACTGAAAGGCTCGATCTTTACATATTTGTGTTAAAGACGAGATGGAGATACCTTCAGCACATTTGTTGGACTAGAGTACTGCATCCCACACAAGTGCATCCTAGAACAAATAAGCAACCTGCGTTTGTTTATGTTTATTGCTATTTGCAACATCACAGTAGTATATGAAATGCAAAGCACTGAGTGTTAAGCTCTGTCCTTCTGCTGGCCCTTCGGCTGTCAATTAATGCTGCTCCTTTAACTTCTGGTCAGCCCTGAAGTGGTCAGGCAGTTGAACCAGATGATCATTGTAGGTCCCTTCCAACTGAAATTATTCTATTCTATTCTATTCTATTCTATTCTATTCTATTCTATTCTATTCTATTCTATTCCGTGTGTTTGAATGCTGTGAGAAGGTGTGCTACCTTCACATGACAGGCTGCCAGCAAAGCCCTCATCCCATCATCTCTGCACACAAGTTAGAAATAAAAGTTGTAAGAACAAATATCCTCATGTGTATTTGTGAAGCCTCAATCCCTTAATGATGCCGTTCTAGCCCAGGCTCTTGTCAGTACACCGCATTTCCATCCTGTACTGGATGAGTGGTCCATCCAGTCTCACATCCAACTGGAAACAGCGACCGACATGAAGTGCTCGGCTCTGCTGCAACAGTGCGCCTCTGGGAGAGATTTCTTCTTTGCTTGAGGTAAACAGTGATTGTTTTTGGCATGAAGACAGCCGTATATATTCTAAACTATTATCTGAACTGTTAGAGCTGCAGTTATTGCTTTTCCCTTGAATTGCACCAGATTCTTGGCTTCAATAATATCTTGCATTGTGGTTCATTTTCTTGAATCCCTTTGGATTAACTGTTCTGCTGTTTTTGTGCATTTTGTGCATTTTTGTCTGTTGGCTGCCAAGTGCCGTGGCCTCGTGAGTAGGACCCTGCATGGCAGTTTTTCAAAGCCGTAGTCACCAAACCCCAGCCAACCTCACGGGAGATGGCACTTTTGTACCAGTCACCCATTCAGGCTTTTCCTGCCTTTTTCTGTGGAAGAAGATAAACCCATTGCCCCAAATCCACCCGTGTCAGTGCCCAGGGCTCGGGCAGGATTTCTGCAGAGTTCACCCCCTGTGAGCCGCTTTTGGGAGGTCAGGAAGGTGGAAGAGAGAAACTCAACGTTAGTGTCCTGAAGTGTGGAAAAGGTCAAATTTTCAATGGAAATGACTTAGGTTTTGGGAAGAGAACATCTTCCAGCACTCCCAAACACTGATGCTTGGTAGGAAAAAGGAACCAAGAAGAGGAAAATTTTATGGACTGTGTTTACTTCAAAGCATTTGAAACAGGAAGCAATTAGTTTAATGTTTAGCTCTAATTAACTCATTTTATCTGTTAATTTTTGCTAATAGTAAACACATGCACTTGGCTTAGTGACACTGAAAGTCACTTAGAAAAAAAGAAAATGATGAAAGTGAGACTCAGGCCAGCTTTGCTCTCCATCAGTGTCCCGAGCGCGTTCGGGAAAGAGGGACCGTGTCAGTGCCAGGAGCACAGAGACTCTCGCTGCAAACACATGCCTGGACGCACGCACGCTCTCATGCAGACAAACAGACTGTGGGAACAGAGGATTACGGGAGGGCCAGTTCTCCTTCAGCAAGACTCAATGACAGACTCTCTGGTGTTAAACAAGGACAAAGAGCACAGAAAGAGACTTTGATTGCCTCAGGAGCAGCCAGAAAACAAACAGGATTCACGCAAACGGCAAAAATAGGGCTTGTAAAGGAGGAGCACAAACGTACGGGGATGAGAGAATGGTTGCACAGCAAAATAAAGCAAAACATAAAAGGCATCAAGAACGAGTTATGGAAATATATTAAAAATAAGAGAAACTCTGAAATGAAATGCATGCCTATTACTAACTGGGAAAAGTGAACAAGCAATGGGGTGCTGAGAGTCTGGAATATTCTTCAGCAAGCAAAAGGATGAGACAGGAGGGCAGGCTGGAATAAATAACTGAAAACTAGGTAGGATAGGTGTGTTTGGGACATTAGGGCTGGCTGAAACTCATCCCTCCACACTTAGATGGATGGGCTGTTTCTTCCTCTGACCATGGCCACAGCCTTCATTTTTTCACCTCCTCTTTAACCCTTTCCTCCCCCTTCCAGGCCCTTTCAAATCTCACAGCCCATTCAGTTTTCAAGTTTCCCTCTAAGCCTGGTTTCTTTCCCATTGCTATTTCCTAGAGCTTGCAGTGGCCATTGACATAATCTTACCCCTCACTTTATAGAGCAGAGCACTTGTATTCACTCATTGAAATTTGTTGCAAAACTTTTGTGGCTCTCAGTGAATAACAGTTAATATAAATGCTTACATGCTTCTTTAGCATCCAAAAAAATATTGAGAATTTTAGTCTTTTGGGGCTTGCTAGTAATTTCAAACACTCACAAGGTAAAATTGGTATCCTTCATGGATGTTTTGTCAAGGAATTATTATAATGCTGGCGGTCCTTTGATCTGTACCACTTATTCCCTGCTAAGGCTCCATGTACTCCCGGGAAGAGCTCTGCGGCTCCCCGTACTCGGGGTGGGGAATGGGGGAAGCCGGGACCCTCCAGCCTGGGTGCAGGCTTGGGGTCAGCACGGGGCACAGGACCCTCACACCTCCCGCCTGCCCTGGGAAGGGATGCGGGCAAGGAGAGCGGTCCTTGTTTTCCACAAGCCTCGATTAAAACCACCACAGAATTAAGTGCTTCAAACGGACAGGTGGTGTTATGAAGCGATGCTGGACTGGATGAGCGTTTCTGGATGTATAACAAGGAGAAGCTGTAATCGCACTGGACTGTTTCTGCACTTGATGACTGATGTTTTCAAAATCATATGTTCTTTGTAACTGCCAAAATAGTTTTTCTATTATTTTAGTAGTCTGTTAATAGCAAAATCCAATGTAATTTAAAAAAAAAAGAGGAGAAGGATTTTAAAAAGCCATAGCAATATAAAGCGTTTTGTTTTGGAAACAAATGAAATTAATTTGAAATTAAGTCTTTCTAGATCTTTACTTCATAAAAAAAAAAAAAAAAATCATTCAATTCAAATAATTTTTTAAGGCCCAAGTCAATTTTTTCCAAGGTCTGTCTTTGTTGCTTTTTTTAAAATTTTGTTTGTCTGTTCAGATACTGAGCCAAAAATATCCCATTGATTTCCCAACTTTATTTAGGACATAAAACAAGCTTTTATCTACCCACAAGGAACAACCAATGTGGTTTTTACTGTACAGGGCTCTTTCCTGCTTTGCAGACCTTTCACAAAATAAATCTTCAAGCTGGTTTTCAGAAAGATGTACATCAGGGTCACTGTATTTTAACATGTTCATAAGATGTAGGAAAGACAAAGAAAAGCAACTAAACCGCCCTGCAGAAAACCACCCCGCTAGGGCCGGGGGAAGCCGGCAGAAACCCTCTACGGGCAGCTGATCTCATTGCTTATCGTTCCTCCTGGTGCTAAAACACAGGCAGCTGCGGGTGTATCTCAAATCTGATTTCTTTCTCAGGCTTTGGCTGGTTTCTGTCCGCTCTTGGATGTACTAGATGCTCTGCAAGGCATCTGTTTTGCTTTATTTAAAGTAGGTTAATTGCAATGGCAGAAACTGGCGTGCTAATTAAACCCGGCGATAAAGACAAGGTGTGCCTGGAGGTAGCTCGCTGAGGGCAGCGGGAGCAGCTTTTCCCAGGCATGGATGCGGTCCCGGGGTGAGCAGGGACCAGGGGTCCGGGAAGGGCAGCAGGAACAGAAAGATGAAGTTTCCCTGCTGGCATGGCCTGGTGGTGCACAGAGCTGCTGAGCCAGAGCCAGTCTCCTGCTATTTCATTTGTTTTGATGGATTTTTCTCCCCATTATGTCCAGTTGCTTTTTGTTAATCTAAGGCAGCATTTTATTTTAGCAGAGTGGTAGTGGCAGCAAAATGTTCAGCTAAATATTGCAAATATTGGCACACTCCCTAGCTGCCAGGTTCAGCATCTGTCTTTAAATTCAGTTGGGAAAACACTATGAGAAGCTCTGTGAAAAACTCAAGTAAAGGTTGTTGAAAATTTGTGTGGAATA